TGTGAACTATTTTTCCAGTCTGCCAAGAGTGATTTCTATACAACGTATGATACAGGAAAGAAATCTGCCAGTCCGTAGATTTCTGCAGCTTATGATCAAGCCAGTCATAATTTCTCTCAATAGCTGATGATGGACAATGTGTGATTCATGGACCTAGCTAACCTTATTTTTAGATGTTGAGCTCTGTGCCTGCAGAAGAGTTTGTGTTGCTCAACATCGATTCAGGGAGCAGAAAAAGTGTCTGTTTAAAAGAATCAGCTTACTAACTGAGAAGAACTCCAACAGGTATGTTCATCGGAGATCTAGCCCCACTTTCTATTAAGTGGGCTAAAAATATGATAATAGCCTTTAATCTACATTTCTTGTAAGAACCTCTAAGGGCCAGTGACAATGTTGTGATTATTAATACTTATTTCAAGCCTGTGCTATCTCAGTACCTCAGTCAGGGGGTATTATATGACTACTGAGAGCAAAATGTGGGCAGATTTTGGAATGGAAATTTTGGACAGAATGGGAATAGGAATCTCTTTCTGCTTCTGGAGTGGCTGCCTCACTTGCCTGGAGGACATCTCCTGGGGCAAGATATGGATGGGCTCGAAGAAGTCAGATACTACATACCAATAATAAGGGGAAGAAAACAATGCTCAGAATTGGTCTTGCCCTATCTCTCCCTCACTTCCTCCTTCTTCTTCCTTCTCACGTTGGTTTTCACAATTAGATGCAGCCATGAAGCTGGTAAATGACTTCTAGCTACAAAGGCTGACAGGCTGGCTTCATGGAAATCAGCGACAAAACTCACACTAATTTCAGAAGAACCAGAACTTCATCTGCAGTGTAAATGGCAGATCATGAATATTGTACTGCTTTTCTAAGAATACGAGCAGAACTGTCATTTTGGCACTATTTGACACAAGACTATTTTGGAGCTCAACTACTCCATTCAGTTCAATACTGATGGCTGTGAGTCAGCTGAAATTATTTGCTCCCTACTTCCCCTAATAATATCAGCATTTGGCTCTCATTTTCAAAGTAGGCCACATATAGACAGGAAGAGTCGGCCAAGGATGCTGGCAAATAGACATCTCAGTCCTTACTGAAGCCTCAACAACTGAAATGCAGTTTCAAAACAACCTTTATTCTGCTTGAAGACTTATTACAATTTTTAAAGCAACTTAAAAACAAGACACAGCTCCATCAACTCTATAGCTTAAACAAAACTTCAAGGAGGCTTGTTTTCATTATTGCCTTGTAAAGGCAATCTACAACCCACTTCACCCTCCACCTCCTCAAAGACCATTTTAAAACAAAGTGATCTTAATGTTTTAAAGACATTTAACAGAACAGAGCTTTATTTTTAAAAACAAGAATAAAAAAAATAGCAGCATCTTGGGCAGCTAATGCAGTCTCATTAGGACAAGTGCAATGTAATGTTACCAACTCCCACAGTCCAGTTTAGTCTTCAACTGCAGTAAATACAACCTGATTCTATGTAAAATGTTGCATTTTGGAACCTTGTCCCATGGGAGGCATTGTGCTTTGAGCTGCCCATTTCTAAAGTGAACCTGAAAAAAAATAGTATCAGGATTCACTTTCCCAACTTAATACCATGCATAGCAAAAGCACTGTGTGAAAATCGGCAGTTTTCCCCATTAGAAGCATCTGAATGTTTTCCCAAGCATTATTATTTCATTGCCAATTACAAGACAAAGCCATTTCTTCACTACAGAACAGTTGACACCAAATAGAAAATTTGAAGATTTGGTTTTACAGATTGCTTGACAAGATTTCTTAGATAACTGAACCATACAGACAAGCTTTGTTTTTTTAAAAGAAAATATCCAACAACACAGAAACTCAGTTTTCTAACTGTATTTGGAAACATGCTGCACCCACAAAGGTCTAGTGTGCGTCTGTATGTGTCTTGAAACAAAGTTAATGGTATCACTTACTGAATCAGCAAAATGATCATGTTTGGTGAAAATGCACTTATACTGGGATCTATTCATACATAAACACACAGCAAATGTGCACGCATATGCACAGATACATATCCCCAAACCTGCAAATTCAAATTTCAACTTAATGAAATCAGAAACTCCTAATTTTGCTTGTGGGTTTTGCTTCTCCGTATAATGTCTCATACCTTTCAAAGGCCTTGTGAAAGTGCTGCTGCAGTGCAGCATAACTCAGGGACTTAAAGTAAAACAAAAATTCCCAAACCAAAAAAAGATAACAAAACAAATCCCACCCTTGAATCATATTAGATATAAAAACTACGTGTCAATAGAAATACAGAAAAGCACCGTGTTTCTTCAGTGCCTTTTTTCTGTATATATTAGTCTGAGATCAAATCAAAACTGGAGTGAACAATATGGTATATTAAAGACAAACTACTCAGCAGTGAATAGGGCCTTTGGCAGGACGTAGCTCTGCGCATTAAGGAGGGAGGGAAATGCAGAGGCCACACAATACGTTAAGTACCAAAGAAAACCCACTCATGCCAATTTGAGAGTGTAAGTGATCCTTGCAAATTGCACAGACCCTGTATAGGCAGAACTTCCCCTTAGGAAGCCCTAAGCATTCATACTCACAACATAGTGCTTATTTCTCATTGTTGCTTGTGCAAGAAAAGCAAGTGCCAAATTTGCACACACTATTTTTTTTCTCTGCTACAACCACAGATGAAGAGAAGTTGTACAGTACGACAGAACAACTGATATCCCATACTGGGTGGGGCATGCTAAGGATATGGCCCACTGCCATAGCAGAGGTTTTCTTAATATGAGGAAAATTAGATCCAAATGCTTAACTATGATAAAATTTCTTGACAAATGCTATGTGAAACATCAATTCAGATTACATATATTTTGCTTATAGAGAAAAAAAATACAATTTTACTCTTAAAATATTTAACACTCAAAAATTAATATATGTCCAAAGAGTATCTTGGATTGCTACAAGTGTTAAATTGTTGTATATTGAACTGATTTGTAACTTCAAGCCCAGTAGTATAACTGGCATGCTAGAGTAATTGTTGGTGCTTTTCATAGTAAAAACCAGTTATTAGTAAACCAAATTTACATGGTCCTAAAGGCCTGAAAAGAGTGTGGAATGAGGAAAGGAAGGGATGAAGATTAAAACTTCTATTCAGAAAAAATATTCAGAATAATTTTGTAAGTGATGACTATCCCAAAACATTAATGTTGGTTGAATCTTGTTTCCTGATATAAATTCTAGTAAGGAAATACATCTATAGGAAAGAAAAACAACCCACCAAAAAAAAGAGCACAAAATCAAAATAAAATCAAAAGCCTTACAGCCTCAGAAATGAAGGAATAATGTAAAAATTAAAAGATAATATAAAAACTACTGGAGACTGGCAAATTTCTTATTATTTCCAATAGCTTAATAAGCACGCATACTTTGAATTGAAACATAGGTATCTCTAAAACAGAGCTGTTATGAGAGAACTTCATCGGTCTTACTCTTTTGATTGTGTGTGCAACTCCCTTTAACAGTAATGGGTCTTGCCTTTGCATCTTGGGGGAAGAATAAATTCATCTGTTCACTTAGTCAAAACTTTTCTAGATGTCTCTGAACTTCATTACTTATCAATTTGCAGTGTGAATTTCCTCAGTGGTCAAGACAATAAATAACCATTGCAAACCACCCACAGTGAATTGTCCCAGAATTCCTAGTAAGTTTGCTCTAGTGGGATTCATCTATTTGTTTCCTTTAACTAAACCATAATTCTGTAAGTCTCTGGTGCCTGAAATTATTGAATTGTTCACTTTGATACTGCCTCAGCCTACAAACTTAGGAAAATAAATCCAAAATGTTAAATATGATAGCCTAATCATTTTCAAAACAGACATTTTCCAATCTTAATAAGCTCTATGTTGTATCCAAGCATTCTCAGTAAAGGTGGGAGCTTTTTTTCCACAATACTAACACAAAAAACAAACCTAGGCAACAGATTAGAGAAACTTCCTTCATATGAAATGAAAATACCTTTACATGCTGACAAAAATTCTGCCACAGTAGGTCAAGAAGTCATTTATTTACTATGAAGAGTGGATTCATTCTGAAATCCAAACTCTCTACCCCAGTAGCCAAATTTCCCCTCTTTTTTCTGCAATCACTATCAGAGAAGGATACACAATTTTTTTCTTCCAAATACAAAGACAATCATGATAGAAGTTCAAAATGCTTCAAGAAGCAAACATAGCGTGGTACCGTATTCTACAGATTATCTCTGAAACAGTATTGTTGGACTCAGTGATATTTTGTAACGTTCATATATTTTTTATTGAATAAAGCAGCTTTGAAGCTTATCAGGCACTGCCCAACAAAATATTTAGTCAAAAAAAAATTACGAACTTTTTAAACTTTGAGCTAATAGCTCAATATTCTATACAAAGAAAATTGTAAAATATTTCATAGTTTTAATTCTGAAGCCAACTCTTGCTGGCTTCCTGTACATTAAAAAAAAAAAAACAAACAACAAAATGGGTAACAAAAAATAATCATCAGGAAAAATATTCTCAGGCAAAAGAAAGGAAAAAAAAGGTGACAATGAAACAAGAAAGAAAAACAAGCTTAACCTGTAGATATGCTTGAGAGAAGACTACAGCCTAAAGAAAATTTAGTATTGCATAGCACAGTCTAAGAATTCAGCTTTCAGCAAACAGAAAAGGGAAAAGAGAAGCAGTTTGGTATTGATAGTTTCTATCAATGATAGTTAGTCATCCAATACTATGTACATTATTATATACTGTATGCCATTGCAAGTCCTGTTTTCTTCAGTCTTAAATATAGTCTTATAACAGGACTTTTAGATGTCTAAACAAAATAACTTCCTGGCACTTTGCTATTACAATTACTCTGAACAACATACTGTAACTGAAGTCCTTTTAAAGTGTCCCTTAGAAATGAAAGTGCCATTCTGCTACATATCATTCACTAGAAACCAAAAATCCACAATGCTGTGTGTCTGGATCCACTGAGTGCAGGAACACCAAATCCAAGCCAGGTCGTGACCACGAAATTCCAATAACTGAATGACAAAGACCTCTTACACCTTGTGTCTGGAGAATCCAATGTTCTAGCTGGTAAAGCTTCAGAAGTGGTCGTAAACAAGCACCATGGTTAAAGGCCTCTATGTCCCTGCAGGGAGATCAAGTTAGGATTTCTCTCTCTTGTGTTTTTCTTTTCTTAATTAAAAAAAAAAGCACTTCAGATTAGAAACATACATTCACAGCTTAATACTGTGATCTCTCCCACTGCAGTTGTGAAGGAAAGCTCTAGTCCCATCTGAAGACAGATAGCTTTGATACTGCAGCTCAAATTCTTCAGTAAGGCTGAATGGAGCCTTCTCTCTCCAGAGGCCTCAATGTTGTCAGACCTTTTCTTTAGAAAAAACCCAAACAACCCAGAGTATTAAGATCTTCATCGCCTCTGCTGTGCATATACTGGGTAGGCTAGTGTGACATTGAGAGAGTCATTGTGCTGCACGAGTGATGTGTGTTGATAATGTAGCACCAGTTCTTTGAGTGAGTTGTACAAGTTATATGGCTCTGCAAATCCATACCCAGTAGGTGTTTTGTTTATCACACAGTGCTTTACTTCTCCATCCACCCTAAAGAGGAAAAAAAGCAACCAGTTTTTAGTTTATCAGTACAGCAAAGTTAAGCTAGAAAATAAGGTATTGGCAATAAATCTCAAGATGCTAGTCACTACATAGAATTCTGTCTTCTGTGGTGGGATAATTGTAAAAGCCTAGGTATAACCCAAATTCCCACATGTTGTGTTAGCTTAGGGAGGCAGGAGATAGGTAGGACTTAGCAGCTGCACATAAAGGACTGCATCCATGCTTTGGTTTCCCTTCTTTTGCATGAGGCTCATCTGTGGGAGTGGCACAGGTTTGAGCTGTGTAGGAAATGGAGCAGCAATAAGGATGACCTCAGGACTTGTTGGTCTGCTTCTAAGCCCAAAGGTCCAATGGGATCCATGCATATGCAAGCATCTATCTGCCTCAAGGTGGGTGCCTCAAACGTTGGTTACATCATTCACAAATTAGGGTACGTACACAACAGAGCAGGCATAGCAGCCTTGTTTGCTGCTCTCTCGAACAAGGAATGTTCCATCTCGCTTTCCCCGCAGCAGATTTTCAGCTTGGCTTCTATTGATATTTCCCACATTCCACGTTCTCTCATCATGATGGGGCAAGTCCTCATCATCTTCTACCATAGAGTATTGGCTGTTGAAATAGGACAAAATGTGTTGTGAAACACATAGCAGAGCAAAATCCATGAATTAAGTAGTCCCCATTTCATAGTACTTGAAAAAAAAAAAACAGTCAGTGGTTAGTAGGATGCCTTCCTGGTAAAACCAGGGATGTAAACCATGTAATACTGCACTGTTTAAACCACTGAATAAAAATAAAATATAAGTTCTGGTTCTTGTTTCTTTTAAAAACGCTCATGTAAATCTGAAGAAGGATATAAAAGGATGCTGTGTTATCTTTCAGACTCTGCTGTGAGCTAATTCAGTACTTCTACCGTTGCTCATTGTTTTGGTAAATAGCAAGCTCAACGAAATCAATACCCTCTGAGTCAGCTTCATTTCCAAAGATCAGAACACTTGGTCAGCAGTGAAAAATCATGCAATATATCAACTACAGCTGCTGCTTGGGAAAGCAATGAGCAGTTGTACAGGTAGACAGATTAATTATTTATAGGACAGATGGCTTTGTGGAAATGGTGGAATAGTAGAGTGCTCTCTCTCCTTATAACCAGATTATGAGAAGAGCATATAATATAGGGCCTTCTCTACCAAAACAGCCACCAACTATAAAGCTGATTCAGAGTTACAGAGAACCCTCCGAGCTAAAGCCCACCATGAAAGAAGGTGTCTCTGGTTCAGCTGTGTGGACACCACTTTGATATTCTGCAGTTCCAGAGCTCCCCACTCCACCAGCAGCCTGCACTGGTGGGCCCTGCCTCTTGTGCTCAGCTTGCAATCAGTCTGTGTTTGATTAATGTGTTTATTCTCTCTGTAATAGGTTTTTAATCAGTTTTCCTTGGTCTAAGAAAACATGACTTCTCACTCATCCACAGTTCTGTCTTTCTGAAGATTCACAGTCTCCAGAAATCAGCAATCTCACACAGAATTCAATTCTTCAAGAAGAAGGGGGTTCTTTTGTTTCAGATGACACTCTCTCTAGGACCCTTATCCCATCATACTCCTTTGTCCCACAATATTCAAATGCATTCAGCAGTGGCTCTATTTTCAACTAGCACCTAGAGAAAGCGATTCCTGTTTTTCCTGCTGCTCATTATATATGGCATCTCTATAAGATACTAACACCTCTTTATTTTGCTGGTAAGAATAAACCACAGGTTAAATTCCAGTGCCTTGCTACAGTAACTTGATTACACGCACTTCCCTGCATAATGGAGAGTAGGGGGTGAGACAGAGGCCTTTCTAACACTTGCATGATGTAGGCTGCCATGTGTTAATAGTGTGCGTTGTTACTGGATACCTAGGCTTGAGATTTCCTCTGTGTGGTCCAGGAATTAAATATGCTTTATCTCACTTTTGCCTAAGATGATTTGAAATACCAGAAATATTTAAATCTTTTAATACTCACTCTTCTGTATTTTCGTTTCCAAGCCATTCATTTAGCTTCTTTTGCCGAACACCTTTTTGAGTCAGCCACCTGGACAATAATTGCAAATAAAATTAATTGTTAGTCACAGAAGTGGGACACCAATAAAAAAAAAAAACTTAGAAAAAATAATTTTGTTAATTCATAATGATACTCACATCAAGTACTGATCTCTTGTCTTCCTCAGCTGTATGAGGTCTGGCTTAATGCTGTTCATACGTTTGTCTATCTCTCTATATTCAGCTGCTTGCTTTTTTAAGTCTTCTTCTAATCTACGCCGGCTGTCCACAATTTCACTTATTCGAGACTTCAGTTTTTCATAGTTGTGCATAATTCTGAATGGAATAATGTGGTAGGTTACACTCTGATGATGTCTTATTCATAACTTTATAATCTGCTATTTAGCGGTGTAGACACTTAAGAGAACAGATTATTTCTCTAGATGTAGCTATACACTTTGCAAGTTCACATCTACCCTGTTTGAGGCTTGCTTTGCTTACAACTGAACGACTTTAAACTTGCCATCTTGCTTTAGTTTTAGGCAGGTCTATACTTGGCATTGTTTCTTCCGGCAAAATCATACAATTTGAAACACAAGTACAAATACTGACCTTTGTATTTCTTTTTCATTTCCTTCCCGTTTAAATTTTTCAATGTATTCCTTACTGTATCTTTCTTGCGTCTGGCACTGCTCTTCAAATATTTTGATTGTTTCATTAAATGCTTCAATAGCTGTTCTTTTCATTTGAATTTCCTGAAAATAAAATAATTGTTATTACAGTTGTTATCAGACAGAGGGGATGATTTATTGGCTTGTATCACAGAAACACTTCGGTATATTGTAACAGAAGACTTCAATATGCCTTTACCAGAATGCATTCTGTCTGCAGAGCCTTATAACACAGAGAGAACAGGCCTGTGCAGAAGACTACCATGATGAGGTTTTTCAAGACAGAAAAACTGCTAGACAAAGAGCTAGCTACAATCATTGTTTGGTATAAATAGGTTTTATTTGTGATGATTAGAGCCTTATGGCAATGCACTTTGCCCTTCGTACCAACTAATGTCCTTAGAGGCACATCTGGCTTTCTGAAATAAAAGTATAAGATATTGGCCTGGGTAGGTCTCAAAAGGTTATCTAGTCCATCCTCCTACATAGCTAGTCAATAGCTAAGTTTTTTAAGTCATTAGTTCAAGTTACCTGCACTTCTCTACCTTTCTTAATTATTTTTAGGTGTATTTCCTGCACATTTTAAGAAGCAGTCTTAATTCTGGGTCTGTAAAACAGCATTAATGCACTGGCACTTCAAGACTTGGCTAATAACCGATTAAGTTGAAAGAAGGATAGAGGCAGCTTTTCATTCCTGCACTGTATCTACACACGTCATCTCTTTACTCTGCATAGATGAAACCAGACCCTTCAAAAACTAATAATAAAATGCAATGCTTCCCTGCAAATGTGTCTTGAAAACCGTAACTCAGCTTCATGAGGTCAGTATGCAGAAGTGTTGGTAAATCAAGATAGTTCTGTGCTTGCTTTGGATGCAGGTGTCAGACTTGGGCACAGGGTGGGTTAGGTTACAGGTGGTGACTGTTCAAACATGAGTAAGCGATTCTACTATACTGAGCAAGCACATCAAGTATGTTTCCTCTTTTGGGCAATGGTAGTGGTGGTGGAAGAGAGGGGGAGGAGGATGGAGGAAGATGGCAGTATGAATTTACAATAATATTCTTCTAAAGCTACAGAAGTCTTCCACTCTCCCTTTAGTTTCAAATCTAGCTCACCTGAGATGTTCTTGTGTAGTCTTCATAGAGTCTGTCATATTCTCGGCTTTTTTCTTGGAACTGGGTATTATATTCATGTAATTTCTTTCCCACTGCTTCAATGCTATCCTCTTTTACAACTTGATCCTGGAATGATGAGCAGAAGGTAAGATACTCCGTAAAGAAACAATAATATTACATAGGTTTTCAGGATAAAACTGCTTAAAAATGCCTAGATAGTTACGTGGTAAATGTGACTCCTCTTTTATCAATATGGAGAGATAATATACTATATGCATAATATGCAAATGAGAAAGTAATGAGAAAAAGCCATTTTGCATTGCAAGTGTTCAGCTTTATATTGAAAATGTGTATTTCATCATTAAAGAGTGGGATATTTACTAACATAAGTTTATTTCTTAATAATGTATCTGCAGTATTTAAAGTTTTAATAATTTATACTCAAACTGTGGAGTTTTTACAAAAATATCCATTTTTAAACAGAATATCCATTTTTATAGCCACTTTGTTTTTTCAAATTTTAACAGAGCTGAAGTTCTTCATGATAAATGACTCCCCACGCTGCAGTAATTTCTCTGTATTTAAGTGAAACACAAAGAAAATAGACCAAATTACCTGCTGGTACTTAGATACTGGATACAGTAATTTTACATCCAGTTTAGGATTATACTGGGCTAGAGATTCATTCCGGTAGTGGTTTATTAGCTCGACCACAGAGTTGAAAGTTAATGGGTCAGAAAAGCCGTATTTTCCATCTCGATGAAATATTTTGATTAATTTATTATTTCCTCCTTTCCTGCAAATAAAGTTTGTTGAAAAGTTAGGCATACTTCAAGTACTATTTCCTAAAGAACACTGTATTTTAAATGCAGTATTGTATTTTACTGCCAAGTATTGCAGACCTTAGCGTAACTGATCTTACCTTAGCGTAAGTGTGTAGTCCCCATGCATTTTGGTTGAAGCATCTCGTACCAAAAAGGTACCATCAGCAGTGTCTCGAAGCTTCTCATTTACTTCTTCTCTAAAATGAAAGCAAAAGTAACCAATCATTTCAGCCATTTCTCACTCATTTATCCTCTCACTGTGCTCTAAATTCCTAAATTTTAAAATAAGTGGTTTTTATAAGCCTTCTTGATTTCCATATTAATAAATACAGTTATTTAATAGCTTATTTAACATTCCTGGAGAACAACTGTGTTATAAAAATGGTATATCCTATGTCCTCTCACTGATGGACAAAATTACATTAATGCAAAGGTCTTTCTGCTTGTTCATACAAGCCTGCACAATTGGAGCAGCCAGTGCTGGTCTAATGTACCTTTATATAGCACAGTTAAAAATGTTGCTAATATATGGCACTTGTTAGTCTGGCTTGTTAACTATTGTGCCTACAGTTGAGGTTCTCGATAAAAGACAAGAAGAAAATACTTATTTCTTGGTGTTGTCCTTTCATGCTAGCTTTTCATATAGCTGTCTTAAGGTAACAGAACAATCATTTCACATACTACATTCTAACTGACTGCCAGTAGCTTTTTAGTCATGTTTGGAATAAAACCAACCATAATATGTCTGTGTTGGAAAAAATCCCAAAAATGGCTCTTAGACCTGTAATTTTTCTATACTTAAGCATAATACATACACAGAGAATAGCATAGCAAGAACATAAAACCAAACATAAGAAATACATGTCTTGAGCTGATTTACCTTGAGATATCTCCCCAGTACCATTCAGCATCTTGTAATGACATGTTGTTATTCATGCCGTTGTTAGTTACAGTATTAGGTTTCGGTGGCTTAGGAGGCAGTGCTGCAGATGACAGGGGAAAAAAAAAAGTTGATTATAACTCACTGAAAACCTGACCATATATTCCTTGAAATTACACATTATTGCATGAATGAGGAAAAAGAAAAGAATAGTTACAAAGTAGAGTTTTCCATTACTAGCAGTCTTTAAAAGACATTAGAGGAATCAAGATATTTTACTGAAAACAATATAATTCAACAAGAAAGATGTACTGTTTCAAAAAAGTATGTTACTCTTGCAATAATATATTTTAAGCAAAATGTAACACCATACTCATCTCCTCCCCCTATGAAGAAAGCATTTGAGATAAAAAGGATTCTGAAGTTTGCTTTTACCTTCTTCCACTATCTTCAGGTGAATATAAATAATAAAACATGTAAAATTTCTTTTTGTTTTCCTCCTATGTAATGATCTTAGAGGAATGTGGCTGCTTCCTTACCTAGAAGCTGAGTAATAGAAGATGCAAACCCACAGCAATACTGTATATTTTAAGAAGAACAATTAGGTTTTTGTGATCCTCAGCCTTCTGTGCGATCATTCGCGAAAAAAACACTTCAAGAAACCCATCTGTGACCCAAATATCCCCTGTGTTAATCTTAGTATTCTACAGAATAAAATGTGTTCCAAATGCCAGGACTGATTAAAAACCACATCCCCCTTTTCTCAATGTCAAAGCTGCATACGTATACCAGTGGGTGCCAGAGAAGATACTGCAGCACTCCTGACTTAGTAGCAAGGGGGACTACATTGGAATCAGGATTAAAAATCAACCCAGCTCTTTTAGTTCTCCAGTAAGTACATCATTCCTTATGAACGTCCCTGTCCTACATATTATGACCGGCCACACAAGACGATGTTTTTGAAGTGGCAGTGAATATCAAGATAGCATAATATTTTTATATGATATTAAAAAATTATGCAATATCAGGTATTCAATTAATATTGCTAGATTTTAAAATCTGTTTTTCCTCAAACAATCCAAAACAATGATTTGTAATCACTGTTTCAGGAAATAAAAGTGTTATTACAGCATTTCCTTTCAGTCACAGTGTGGAACAGAGATAGCAAAAATAATAACAAAAGAAATACAAAATTTTTATGATATAATAGCAGAACTAGAACTACATCTGACAGAACAAAATCAAAACAGAAACAGGTCAATTCAGCAAACATTCAATTAAGTAAGCAGACAGGTATTTCTACAGGTTATGATTCTAATTACTATAACCATGCACTAAACCAGAATTTAATTCTAATTTATGAAAAAAAGGAAAAAGAAAAACTGTTTGTATCAATGACAAAGTAAAGAAATCCTACATAACCACTAAGAATTTTTCAGCAGCTATTGCAAAGACCAAAATGAATTAAGTCTTCCATAATAAGACTGCAGTTTTACCTGGTGGATCCATTTCTATGTAAAACATCAAGTCTGTGCCACAATTTATATCTGTCTTAGGATATTCTATATCCAGTTCTTCCATATTCCAAACAGTATTGTACATTTGTATGAGTTTCACTGAGTAAGCTCAGATACAAGAAAAGAGTCAGGCTCTCTTTGTAATGGTGTCTTGGAATTCATTTTAAAACCTATAAGGGGCTGCACTGTAACCTATTACATCATAATCCTCAGCCAATCATGTCAAAATAATGTCACCAGACCACTCCTGTTTCATCATTTTGTTCTACATTAATCTTAAAATAATTTCAGTTTTGGAAAGAATCTACATTTAGCAGAACGGCAATATAAACCTGGTATTACAAACAAAAGGAGCGAGTGGGGTCTCCTCGCTCGCCTTCACGGCTCGTTTTCCTGACTGCAGATGGTACAGTCCAATCCTGGCAGGATGACAAAAGGCTGATATGCTGCAGCACGTAGCTCTTACACACAAGCGCACACAACACACGCACACTCGCACGCAGGGCAGCTCCCTTTAAAGTAGGTCGGTCACATCTCAGTTGCATTCTCCTGCTTGGATGCCTGAAGTTTACCATTCAAAAAGCTTTAAAAGGCTTCTGGACCTACTGTACATATTAAAGATGCAGAAGCGAAAAGAGCATTATTGTCTGTGTGTATCCATTACACACCCATTTTACACATACATACACACAGAGGCATATATATCTCCACATAATGAAATATGGATGATGTTTTTAAACTGTGCAGATTTCTATTATTTCAATGGACACACAGGTCTGATATACTTGATATTATTATATAAAACGTGCTTACTGCAGAGATGTCTTCCCCTCCTTACAATTTTGTAATAAAATACAATTCCAGTCAATCTGGATTAATTCATTTTGAAATCCAAAGCCCAAATATTGTAATCTTACATTCAGCAGACTTGCGTAAACCGTGGAAGAAAGTCAAAACTGAGCAAGATCTTGAAATGTGATTTTGCTGAACACAAAAAGCCAGTCCATCAGGACACAAGATTTAGTCTGCCTTTTCACATTGTTTCTCTACCCTGTTCTCATTGAGGTATTTATCAAGTTAATTGTTTTTAAAAGCAAGAGTCCCTTGTCAGTGTCTCCTTCCTCACTTGACTTTATGTCATCAGCATCCTCCTACCATTTAGAAATATTCCTTCTTAACTACCCCCCAAAGCTGACTGTAACCTTCTCAGACCTCTTGGAAGAAACATGCACAGAATAGACTATCAATTCCAGAGCAGAGTGCTATGTAAAGCAATGTGAATGCTTTATACTCACTATAATCTATGGGGGCAGAAAACCAGATACCAAAAATAACCACAACAAAGAGTAGTTGTAGCAACTATCTGTGCCTACATCATAAGAAATCCTGGTGCAGCTGAAATGTGCTCTATCTCACAAATACTCATTAAAAAAATTAACACAATTCATATCACACATATATATATTTTACACACATCTATTCCCCCTCTGTGCCCCTCAGCAGCTTACCCCTTTTAGACAAGAATTAACACACAAGAACATGTCTGGAGTACAAACAGCTACAAAAAAATGCATGCTAGTTTGCTTTGTAAGTTAACAAGCTTAAATTCATTCTGAAGTAGACTCTCCCCTCCCTGTTTAGGTAGACGTGCTCCAAAGATTCTTTCAATTTCCAAAATGAAATAGGATACTTAAAATCATCCCAGACACAAGTCCAAACACTGAACTTGGAGGTTTAACCCACCTGCTACCCAAACAGTTGAGTTGCCAAAGTAATTATTTAAATTAGGTTATAAAGATTTCCTACAAAGTCTGCATCGCTGCATTTGGGTCTCATGTGGGATCAGTAAGATTTTTTATTCCGTTGAATAAAGGCTTTCAGGAAAAATTACTTCTCCAGGGTTTCACTGGTGGCCAAATTCTGGACTGTCCACACTTGTATAATCAGGTTAGTGCTCAGCTCAGACTAGCCTAGCTTGCAGGCAAGAAAAGACAGGAGGCAGATAGGCGACTCCCCATTCCCCGTATAACCTGGAGAGGTACTGAGGTACTTGTCTTTCATTCACGTATCTTAAGATCATGAAAGCTCTACCTGGTAATCAGCTATAGTAAAATACTTCCACGAGCTGATGAAGAAAACACATACAGAAATGAAGAATCACTTACTTTGTAAATTATGCATGGCAAATGCTCGCCCTTGTAATACAGCCTGAAAATACAATCCAATAACCTGAAAAATTAATTGGTTCCCTCTTATAAATATCTTGCTCAAAAAAACCCCCCAAAACTCCTTTTACTAGGAAGCTTCTCTGAAGCAATGAAGAAAAAAAAATTCTGAAAAAGAGATTGCTCTGCTTTCCAACCGATGTTCCATAAAAATCCCTAAAAAAGCTGTAACATGCAGTGAGAAAATCCAAGCCTTCTCTCTCTTCTTAACTGCTTAAAGCTCTGTGCTGTGCAGAAGGTATCCACTTACTCTGGTTCATCATTAAAAAGTGAACCTGACTTTAGTACTGTAAAAAAAAAAAGAAACCACCACCCTCGGTAGCTTGCACGTCTCTCTCAGATAAAGATCTCAGTTTCATGATTAACTTGGGCAGGTTCAAATATTTGCTGAGCCAGGGATTTCAGGTGGGGGAGGGGGTGCCAGATTCAAAGTAAAAGTTGTCATCAGCTAACAAGTGGCCAATGCAAGGCTAACTTTCTCATAAGTAAATGAGAAGACCATTGTAAGAGGCGCCAAAATAGTCTCTGTCACTGGCTGCTGTGAGACAGTATTAAAGCTGAGAAAACACCATGAACAGCCAAATACAGGAAGTGGATAACTAACTTACTGCAGAAAAAAACCAGAATCAAAATCTTCCTTGAAAAGAGCTGTACCTTGCAGAGCAGCCCTGTGCAAGCAAAATAGCCTGCATGCAAGCACAGCATCACCTCCTACACACTCATGCTGGATCACAAATACAGGTGCTGCTTGACGACCCTCAGCATGACGCTGTGAGGCATTTTATCCATTTCCTATAAACTGAAAATAGTAGAAAAAACACCTGTACTTATCCATGGTATTTTCCAGTATGTCAGGATTGTTCATTTCTTGGGCAGGCGGGTAGGAAAAGGGACTGTACAGAGAGGGAGCAGTTTAGGTCAAATATATTTTCCTTGCCTTAGTGTTTGGTGGAAATCAGACTTGCTAAAGGAACAGAGCAGCAACTGAAGAGCCTGCTCCCCTTTGCCTACAAAGGTTAACTTATTTGCCAGCTATACTTTTACAAGGAAATAAATTCAAAGCGAAAAGAGAAGCAGACGACAAGATTTAATTCAGAGAAAGAAGAGAAGGGTATTAATATTTTCCTCCCGCTTGCTGGAAACAGTGAGGACTTCTAGTAGCTGTGTTCCTTGAGACCAGCTTGTGCTCCTCACGGCAGTCAAATGGCACTGAAAAGTTTTCACCTCCCAAACACTCCACCTACCAAAATACTCCTATGCTACAAAACACCAAACTCACTTGTACCTCATAATGAAATTCCAAATATCTCCAGTATATTTTTGATGTTTTACAGTTGATTGATTAGGTTCACCTGTAACAATCCCTTGCTTTTCTAGTTTTAGCCTTTGCCTACTTGAACAATTGTCAGTTCTATATATAATTTAAAGCAGCACAGTCATAAAGGTACAGCCTACTTCAAATGGAGATGGTAACCTGTGTTTCTGAACTAATCCAACTTCTGACAGTAAGTCATCTGCCTCCTATTTACTGTTAAAATTACAGAAGGGGATTGATAACACTTCTTGGTTTATAGGGCCACAATACAGAAGCATATTCTCAAAGGAGAAAAGACAACCCAAACTTGGTTCACTGAATTGTTTATCATTTTAAAAAGCACAGGTATCCACACAGAGATAAAAGATAAGGCTTTGTGCCTAAGTCCAATTTTTTTTTTGGATTCCAGTGCCTTGTGCAAAAATGAGTTTCTAATCATCCTGCAGAAGGGAATCAAGTGTCTTGACAAAAAAAGATACTGGCATGCACACACCTGCATTTTCACACAATTGCCCTATCTGAACTTTTATTTAAAACCTTGAGTGGTGCCCATTGAATCTATAGTTTGTACTTGCAGAAAGTCAGCAGCCTACTATTTTTTGCAGTCATACTCACAGTTTTCTTCTATGTATAAAGCTTTTTTTTTTCTAAAAAATGATGTATGAAGCAGGAAGAGAACTGATCAGGTTTGACAGGCTTGCATGCATGTGTTACACATATTTACATGCAAATAGACACAAACACATACACCAATCTGTAAAAAATTCTAATAACATCGTACATGTTTCAGTTTTACCAAATACTTTCAATTAGGTATTGAGAAACATGAAGCATAGACTACTGTCAAAACCTAAACGAAGAATACAGCAGTCCGAGGTATGGTGATTAACAAAGCATTTTGCTCTCCATTAAATCAGGTATAAAGCCCGATTTTTATTAGCTTAGAAGGGGAGCCCTCTGCCGGGTGAGGCACAGACGTGCAATATCCCTCCATGCGACACCAGCTCTCCTTGGTACGGACTGCCTTCTGCATGCTCCACACTCGTGCTGCCGACAGTCCAGCCAAGCCCGTGACATGACGCAGAAAAGTCCTGACAAGGGACAGTGTTCCTACATATTTGTTTGTGTCCCCAAGACACTACCAATAGGACTTGGGCGGAACCTGATCACCGCAGCAGTCCAGGGGAGTTTTGTGTCCGATTCCAAGAGGAATGCTACCACGCTTGCTAATATTTCGTGCAGCTAAAAGCAAAGTGTCTGCATCTTGGCGATACTGCCAGGACTCTCACCCCATAACCAGCAAGTGAGCAGTTACGTGTAAGGCAGTCTCATCACCTCACTCATTCTTAGCTATGACCCTGTGAGTAGTAAAACCTACCTCTTTGTGCTTAAAACTGCAATATTTCACGGCTTGAGCCAGTTCTTAGAATGTTATTTACAAGCCTGGGAAACAGGAATAAACTGGGATGGACAATCTAGACGAAGCAGCTCAGCTTGAGTTAGTGCACAGGCCATTAGAGGCTTCAGTTCATCCGTACAGGACGG